GGGGGGGGGAGGGGAGTGATAGAGTGACTTGGTGGATACCTGGCATTTAGCCAAAGTCAAACCATCACACTCAGGCACAGACAGCTCCTGCACCCCAGGAGAGCTCTGCTCTGCTCCATTCCACTCCTCTCCAACAGAGCCCCCTCCACCCCCCAACATTAAGGTACCTGCAGTGGGGCACCGTGGATCAGCCCCAACCTGTGGCAGGTGCTGCTGGCTGAGCTCTGGCGCTGGGCTGAGCACAGCTGCTCACAGCCCCACAGAAAATCACACCGTCCACAGAGGCACAGGGTCAGGTTTTGAAATTTGTCTTTTTAATAAAAAGGCACCTATAAAACAGGTCAATACATTACAGGCAGCACAAATACCCAAAAACAAGCCTAAAAATTGTTTCAAATAAAAACCAATAAGATGTCTTCACATATTGTATTTATATATTTATATTTATATATATATTTATATAATGGTACAAAATGACTGGGGAAGTTTCTCCATGGGATGACAGAGAACAGGTCAGTCACCATTACCTCAACGTGAAAGCTAATTCCGGGCGTGTGATTATCTGACGGACTGAAAGATGCGGTTTCCCAGCATTCGCTTTTTTGGAGCTGGAAAAACATGGCGAAGTCATGGCTAAAACATGGGTAAACCTTTTACTGTGATTAGGTGGAGTCAGTACACAGAACTCAAGCTGAGAAGCCGAGCAATAAACTACGAGACACAAGACTAAGACACAGCTCACAGCAGCGGGCAACCGGCTGATGGCAAACCCTGCCCAGGTCTAACAAGGACTGGCTGTTACTGAGCTTCCGGGGAAGCTCCTGCCATATTGCTGTTCACAGGCGCGGTTGGGAGCAGTGCCCGGGGCAGAGGGGTGATCGGCAGCACTTCTCCCCGTTGTTCTGCCTCCGTGGCAGGAGGGGCAGGGCTGGCTCCAGGGCATGGGATTTTGCAGAGGAGCACCGACCACTGCTCCAGAGTCCCCAGCTCTGACCTAGTGTCAGGATTTCCCTTTTGTATCCAGGGCTGCTGAGTCAAAAGGCTTTGCTTCTTACCCATTTGTCACCGAAGGACAGGTCTTCCTCCTGCTGCCAGGGAAAGGGCATCACACTGCCCCATCCCCCACCTCCCCGGCACTGCCCAGGGGCTGCCACAGGCTCGGGCTGAGACGCGGACAACGCGCTGCCACAGAGCGAGCGCTGCAAGCCCAGGCAACTTCTCAGTTGGGCTGGGCAAAAGGGACAACAGGGAAGGTACAGACACGTGGAGATCTCCACCGGGCTAAAACAACAGCTGTCTACAGACAAACAAAAAAATTTCTGTATAGAAAATATTATGGCTTCAAATTAACCAAGACTAGCTGGTGGGTGATAAGCAAGGTTTGGGGCTGGCCTTGGTATCTGGATGTTCGCGAGAAACTACCAGCAGCCAACACCCCAAAGTGCAGCCAAGAGAAGCCACAGCCTTTTATGCAAGTCAAGCTTTGAAAGAGCTACGTCTGTCCGAGGCACATCCTCCCACATGAAACGCACATGCTGAAAGGATGGAGAATCCAACCAGCTAACGCGTCAGGTCCAAAGCACACTTGGTTAGCCTGGGCTGAAGGTGATTCCTCTGCTCCAGCTGCCAAGGCAGGGATGAGCACTTCCAGGGATTGCTCCCATTTTGCCATCACTGAAAATGCTGCTTACTAACATCATACATAACAAAACCATTCAAAGCAGAAGACCAGAGCAAAATCCTTCCTCAAATCCAGACCCACGCGTCCCACCCAGCACTGCTCGCTACAAAACGCCCCAACGTGTCAAGGTACTCTCCAGCGGACTCTGTGGCTCCATCTTCTCAGAGGCTGGATCGAGACAGCCACTGGGCTGGAGCTTCAGCACCCGCTGGCCTTTCCGAACATCTTGCACCGCGATAAAAAGTACTGCTGTCTGCTCGCTACTTGACCATCTCCCTTTCCGAAAGCCCTCTCCGCCCTGCAGTAGCAAGTAGGGAAAGGTGAGCTCTGTTACAAGAGAGGTAGAATGCTAAGTCTGGCTCTGCAGAGATAATCCTCCGACTGGTGCCCGAGTTCACCAATGGACATCCACAGGGCAACACCGCGCTGGAGCACGGTGCCCGCGGAGGTCTGAAGATACGGCTGCGTGCACCGAAGTGCACACGTGTCACCCCACAGTCCCCCCCCCC